TGTGTACATATTTCCTTTGTTTATTATGGTCAGAACCAATGTATATATATATATATATATATATATATATATATATATTTATATTTATATACAGTATATATATTGATCTGGGGCATAGTTAGCTCAATGTGGTAGATGCATTTTAGTGAGACATGTCAGTCCAAACTTCAGTTTAAGGGTGTGGCAGCCCATTTTTATTAAACAAAATTCATCCAAAGTTGCCCACGCAGGAGTTTCAACTTCACAAAGCAAACAACTGAAAAAGTGCCGAGCCACCTGGCTCCTTTGTCAGCAACACCACTGCTCTTTTTGATCTCCCAGGCCATGAATTCTTAAGGCTCGCTCAGCCTATTATCACAGCACCTTGCTTTAGGGACTCAATGCTGGCCTCCATACACGGTTCTCCCAGAGCTCCAGGTTCTCACACACTTCTCGGGAACTTCCTCCAGCCCCCTCTGTGAACTCGCTAATCACCACAAGTTTCTCAGTCTCTCTGGGCCCGAGTAGCTGTCCTGACTCTCCCAAGTCCTGTGGGCAAGAAGTTGACCCAACATAGGTTCTCATCTCCCAAGAAGGTCACCATTCCTGGTTGGAGCAAACGGTTATCTTCACACAGATACTCTATCCCCAAATGGCAGCAACTGCCCTGAGCTCTCATCAGACCAGGCTTATAATGACATATGTACTCACGTAGGCATCTAGCAAAGCATGGTCACAGGATGCAAGGTTCCATCCCACCTAAGACACTTTGAAGCCTTCAAAGTCAAGGCACCGATCTGGAACAACCAAACCCAGAAAAAAGCTTAAAACACAGCTTTCTCTGTGCAGAATACACATGCTGGAGCTTCTCAAACTGAAACTTTGAGAAGCCTGCGTCATTTCTTCATCCTTTTCCTAATCTCACACTGTTTCAATGCATTACACTATCACAATACTGTATATATAGATTCTCCTTATATGAAAAAAGACTGATTGTTAATGGAGCTCAGTAGAGGTTTCAATGAGAGACAACTTGTCTGAAAGGAGCATCTGCTCTCCCTTTAAAACATCCATAGTATTCTATGAATTGTTTGTAAACTAAAAAATATTATACAGTATATATGTATATATCAGTTTTATGACTTTAAAAATAAAAATAAAATTTACTCCAAACTTTTTTGGTTTCTCCTAAAAACTTTCATAAAAACACAAAGTTGACACCACCTCTCATGTTCCGTATATTTTAGCTGTAATCTAGGTATCCTAAGTTGCCTCTTGCATTAGGCAACAATACATCGTACATAGAAGAGAAAGTTTTCTCCCTGCTTAGAGAATCTCTTCTGCTTACTTCTAATTATACGAGAGCCTCTGTTAGATATCAATTTTATTTCTCAGTCCCATAATTTACTCTCACTAAGTAAATCAGTGGTTACTTTATACAATCTCTATATCTGTTATTACTTGGATAGCTGTGCATTGTAATCATCTACCATGGCTGCTACTTCTAGGCTCTCTGTGTGATGGATTGATTTTGTATTTTGCGATGGTGATTACAATTATTATCCCTATCTAGCAAGTGTGACATCATCATTGTAGCAGTGGGGACAAAATGTGAGGATCCATACAGTCAATACTTATTAAGTCCATGCAGACTTTTCAGCATATTGTCAGAGCGTCTTTTTATATTAGTATTCATATTTGTGATTCTTTAAACTGTAAACCTTCAGTGGAAATGATACTTTGAAGTATATCTATAGCCAAACTTTTTTTTTCTTCTTTTGAACTTTTTAAGTGTAGAAAGGTTGGAACGTCTGTTGTTTTTTTTATTGTTGTCTGCATTGATTATTTGTCTTACCACCATCACTGGACAGGAACTGCTGGGAAATCCAACATCTTACGGAGGGAATGTCTGCCAATGAGTTAAGCTATTTCCGTGCCAAAAGGGGATTTCCTTTATTTTACAGAGATTTATACTCATGTACTACTGTGTCAGTAGGAGAAGTAGTGAAGGGAAATCTCTCCAATGGAACAAAAAAAAAAAAAACTGACCCAGATTTTTAAATTTTCCCTACTCTATCCAGAACTTAAAGAAATAGTGGCTTGGGTAGGATAGCTCATATAGACTTGTGTGGAGTTTTATTTAGACAGAAACAGCCAGTCTAAATACCATGGAGACAAAAAAAAAAAGCAGAATTTATCTCAATGATTAAAAGAAAAACTACAGATCTAAAATGTCAGTTTCTAAACTTCTAAACGTGAAAAAAATTAAATTTTAAATAGAATTTATATAAATGATAAAAAAAAACTGTGGATATAACATTTCACTTTATAAACTTGTAAACCTAAAAAAATATATATATATATATATATATATTTTTTTTTTTAAATATAATTTAAAGGATTAAAAATTGTGTTTATTGTGTTAGTAGGACAAGTAGGGAAGGGAATCTTTCCAATGGAACAAAGGAAGATAAAAAAAAATGACATGGATTTTAAAAATTTCCCTACTCTATCCAAAACTTAAAGTGTTACTAAACCTAGGACAGGAAAATCAGTCTGTATATGCAGTAGAGCATGCTTGTTATACTCACTGTGCAACCTAAGGGGTTAATCCTCTGCATTGAGTAAAAAGGATGTTTGATCCTCTCTGCTCTAATCCTCCCCTTCTACCGTCCCTAATATACGTATCTCCTCATAGAACAGAGCCTTGGGGGCAAGTTGCATATGTTCAGCTTAGTGTGTATTGCTAGAGAGTTTTTTTCTCTTGGGAGGGTGCATGTGATCAGTACAGGGTCAATCAGCACTGTCCAGATAGAGGTCAGGGGTTCTGCATCCTCCTAGAGCAAAATGGAAACTAATCCTACAAGCTTTAACGTACTCGGCTGGACACTGATAGAAGTCACAATACTGCTATAAACTGCTGATGGGAAAAGATATTTAGCAGTTTATATTTACAAAAATAATTGCATTTCCATGTTCTGTGTGTTGTGGGAGACCAGATATAGTGGATGCAGGGTCCGGGGAGACCGGATATAGTGAATGCAGGGTCCGGGAGACCAGATATAGTGAATGCAGGATCCGGGGAGACCAGTTATAGTGAATGCAGGGTCCGGGGAGACCAGATATAGTGAATGCAGGGTCCGGGGAGACCAGATATAGTGAATGCAGGGTCCGGGGAGACCGAATATAGTGAATGCAGGGTCCGGGGAGACCAGATATAGTGAATGCAGGGTCCGGGGTGAATGCAGGGTCCGGGGAGACCAGATATAGTGAATGCAGGGTCCGGGGAGACCGAATATAGTGAATGCAGGGTCCGGGGAGACCAGATATAGTGAATGCAGGGTCCGGGGAGACCAATATATAGTGAATACAGGGTCCGGGGAGACCAGATATAGTGAATGCAGGGTCCGGGGGAGACCAGATATAGTGAATGCAGGGTCCGGGGAGACCGAATATATAGAATGCAGGGTCCGGGGAGACCAGATATAGTGAATGCAGGGTCCGGGGAGACCGAATATAGTGAATGCAGGGTCCGGGGAGACCAGATATAGTGAATGCAGGGTCCGGGGAGACCAGATATAGTGAATGCAGGGTCCGGGGAGACCAGATATAGTGAATGCAGGGTCCGGGGAGACCAGATATAGTGAATGCAGGGTCCTGGGTTTAGTAACATTTTAATATTATTTTAAATAGAAGTTATATAAATGATAAAAAATGATGGATATAAAATATCACCTAAATGTGTAAACCTAAAAAATAATATTTTAAAATAGAATTTTAATAATAAAAACTATGGATATAAAATATAAATTTGTAGACCAAAAAAATAATATTTTAAATACAAAGTTGAAGGCAGGAGCAGGTAAGAATCCTCAATGTTATTTGTTAAAATCCTTGTAAAAGAGTAATCAGTAACCTAATACAATCTGCACCATCATTGCAGTAAATACATAATTATTTCTGGTTATTTTGTTCTCTGAGTCGCACTCACAGAAATGTGTAAAAACAGAATAAACAATGGCTCCTTACTGTGATAATGAAGTCTGTGAAGGTAGCTCTTTGGGAGCCACTGGTGGCCCCCATACCACCTGTTGACCGTCTTTGTATGAAAGGAATACAGCAGGTAGATGATGTGGTTTACAACTCTCAGCCTATAAATTGTGTAACTGCTATGCCATACATGAATCCATCTCTTTTACATTAGAATTTATGATCACAATTATGCCAATTTTCTTTGGATGTTGCAAATTTCATTTTTGCTATTTTTTTTCATCTTTAAATCTAATTTGTAAATAAAATTGTTATCCCAATTATTGGCATTTTACAACGAAGTTATTATTAATATTTTAAATATATAAATATAAATATTTTTCATGCAAAAACGTATGTCCTCATTATTTAATGTATCACGTTACATAAAAAAAAGGTTTAAGCTCATTTGACAATTTACTTTTTGACCTAACCTTAAGGGACCATGGATATCTTCACATCTTGATGGGCTGTGTTATTAGTTAGTAGAGTTGCCTGTCTACATGATGGATTGTTAAAAAAAAAAGCACACTTGAGAGATTTCAGGGTAATGAACACAAAAACAGAGCTGGCATAAGCGAAATATAACTATACCACAATTAAATGCAATACAGCACAAGCAAAGTATGTCTTTTTTTCCTTTTTTCAGACATCGGTCCATATAAAAAAAAAATTTAATTTTTATATTTATTTAAATATATTTTTGTTTTGGCCAGCTTGGCCCAAATACACTAATTAAAGCGGAACTTCACTCTCTCAATCAAATTTGACTATTTTTAAACCTTATGTTGCTAGCATTACTAAACAGCTAGGACGGAATATTATATTTATTTGTTATAAGCTTTTTTTTTAACCTCCCCGGCGGTATTCCCAAGTGTAGCTCGGGGTAAAATGTCAGTACCAAAAGCGGTAACCCCGAGCTACACTCGGGCTTAACATGCGGCGCTGCATAGGGAGTCCCTGCAGAGCTTACCTTGTCCTTCGCTCCCGCGATGTGTCCCCTGCAGCGTCCCCGGCCATCTCCTCCGGCCGATGCCGGCATCCGGCTTCTGTGTTCCAGTCCCTGTGACATTGGGACGTACGGGCGCCGCCGCCGCCGGCGGGAAATTTGAAAATTTTAAAAAAAATTTAAAAAATTTAATTTTTTTCCAAACAAATTTTACATAGTAAAACATTGCTGTTTCAACCCATTTCACATACATTTTGTCCCGAGTGCTTTGTCCTGCGCCCTGCCTGCATTTTGTCTGTTCTTTCTGCCTGGAAACTGAGAAAAGTCCATGGCGTCCAAAAAGCGTCCCTTTAGGTCAAAAGCGGTTTTAGATCAGCTAGAGAACAGCGATAGTAAATCAGAACCACTTGCAGAATTGAGTGATAATGATTTGTGGGGAAATTCGTCATCAGACAATGAAAACGATTTTGCGACTTTGCTCAGTGATGTGCGAACTTGGCGCTCTATTTCAAATTTCAGTGTTTTTGGTTTGATTATATTATTGAATTAAATGAATTATTATTATATATTATTATTTTTTATGATTATTTTTTAAATTATAATTTATGATTTCGTGTTTCAAATTTTATCATACCCGGATGTTTAATAGACTCTTGTTCGGACAGATTTCAGTGAGTTATTCCTAAAAATTACAGCCTACAATAAAAAAACTACATATTTCCATGCAAAATAATGGTACCGCTTTTAGCACCAAAAATCTGAAATAATCATACCGCCGAGGAGGTTAAAGATACTTACTGGTTTTTAGGCCTTGGAAAAGGATGTCATACATCCAGGGGAGGACCATTTGGAAACTCAGGCAGGGGGCCCCATGAGATGCCCCTGGTACCTTTTTCATAGGCTTTTTTGAGTTTGGGCAAGGACACAGGGCCCCATGATCCCCTATTGCCCAGGGGCCCCATGAGTTGTCAGTCCGCCCTGCATAATTCCCAAGATTCTTCAAGGGGCAAGGAGGGGTTTTCTCAGCTAAGCACACCCTCCTGCCTGCATGCCTGAGCTACGGACAGATGGATTCCAGGAAGTAAATGCTGCAAGATTTATCTCCCCCTACTCAAGATGGCCATGGCTAGTGGGATGGTTTTCAAAGCAATTTCTCAATAAAATAAATCATGGAGACATAGATGGGTGGGATATTTGAATATTACAAATGAATTAAATAAAGTTTTTGGTTTGTGGTGCTCAGATGCAGTGTAGCTCTACATTAAATTGGCAATAAAGGTGGAGATCTGCTTTATGTTAGGGCCCTTTCACACCAAGAGGAGCAGAGGCTCATGGGTGTGCAATGCGACATTACGGCAAATTGCACTGTAAACCTTTTTTCTTTTTTTTAAATACTTTATTGTAATGTTACAAAATGCATCCCAGTTGGGGGGTTGTGAACGAGCTCATAGCCAATAAAGGGTATTACTTAAACTCCAAATTTGAGCACTAATTGATGACTTACACGATACTCTACAATTAAGTAACTGCTGTAACATTTTTCTGTTACTTTAAATGTTAAAACTTTCAAAAACATTGGAGAAAACTCTATTTTTGCACTATCAAACAGCACCATTCTGTCCTTGGATGACACTGTAGCATTATGTGACACATTGGCTGTGGCCAGCAAAGCAGACACCTCGGCTGAAGATAATATTTATGTGAAACATTTAGCTTTACACTACATGGCTGAACAAAGGAGCAGATGGGCCGCTTCCACGGCTGTAGTTCTGCTTGTTTTCATTAGTGTCTTTCAAAAGGTAAAATGTTCATAATAGTATTAATTCTATCTTCTGTGCCTATTCCCTTAAACTGGATTTTTCTCACCCCCCAAAGAAGTAACAGCAACTGCTGCATGTGTACATTTAATTATTTTCTACTGATCTTTAAAATGAAATACAGTTTTATTGACATGTTCTCTCAGATCCATGGCCTCTGCTTCGGGGTAGACCGCCTCCAAATTATACATTACTGGAAAATGAATTACTATGTCATGTTAGCCTTGGAGGAAGATTCTATATTGTAGAAAAGTATCCAATTATCAGTGTTTGTCACCACATACAGGAAAAAATAAATCATAATTTATTGGACGCTTGCCATAGCATGTATGACATCATTTGGACTGCTACAACACGTATCGGTCACACGTCACGCTCTATAAATACCTTTTTAAAATAAAGATGATCTATTTTGAAACAGTACTAAATATATATGCAATATTTTAATTTAGATGTCCTGGCCCTTTGGGCTAATTATTTACCCCATGACTCTTTCACATTAATTATGAACCTTGCACAGCTCCCACAGTAAGTGGCTCATGTTGAGCTACTTTGCAAAATGATGTCAGTTATGCAAAGTAGGTGAAAATGGAAGTTCTCGGCGTGGTATCACCTTAATGCAAGCGGGAGGTCAGTAATCATTGAGATAGTCATGTAGTGGTAACATATGCATTTAGAGAGAGGTACAATGCTCTTCTACTGAGTCAGATATGTAGGTTTGAATGAAAAATGACTCACTTGGTCCAACCATGGTTTATATAAATCCACACTGAAGATCACTTTTATTTTTATTTTTTTCATTCTTCTCTAAATTTAGATGATGTAATACCTGATGTTATGTTAAATTATGATATATATATAGATTACATAATAGTGGAGTAACTAGATTTGGGCTAGTATCTCTTCTTGGGAAAAAAACAATGTACTAGAATATATGTAAATACTACATTTGTAACTCAACCTTATTAAATGTATTTACACAATTTTTTTTCCAAACACTGTAATTTTCTAAGACTATCAAATATTGCTTTCTTTCAGTATGGCAACATGGGACATTCCATGCACTGTTGCTAAACATAATGCCCCCAGAAATGTAATTTCCCGCTTGTGTGATGGGATTACTGATTTTCTTAGAAATCTACACTTCTGAGATACAAGTCAATTTTTTGGGCATCCTACAGTTTTGGTGAGAGGCTCCTCAAGGCTTGTTTACTTTTAAGATGCAGCTACTTTCCCCATTAGAAGATTTGATAAGGTGGTTATAATGAAAGTTTGCCCTTTCATTCAGGAATCAGTCAGGAAAGAACATGGGGAAACAAAGAGTTATTTCTTCAAAATAGAAAAGGTTTAGAATTTGTAACAAAGTTTTCAAATATCCTTGCAATCTTTGCAATCTATATCGACAAACTAGAGGTGATTGTGTTTTTCTCAAACTCTGGGCAAAATGTGATTGCTGTTTTGTTTTAGGGGAACAAAAAAGTAGATTTACTTGCCTGATTTCTCCACTACACAACCACCCTGCTGCTTTACATCCTTCTTCAGTGGTCCAGGGTCCAGACGTCATCCATACCCCTGCATTGGATATGATGACACCAAGGGACAGTCCACTGAGTGTGGGGGAGTGGATGATCATGTGAGTAAAAACATCTTTAATCTCCCCTAGACAAAAGGAGTTATTAACCCCCACTGCAAAGGATAATTTTGTATTTTTTTCAGAGTTTGGCTTTAAGCCTTTGTCTATCATCTATCAATCTATCTATCTATCTATCTATCTATCTATCTATCTATCTATCTATCTATCTATCTACCTGTAGTTCTACATTATATCAAAACTGACATGATTCCATTCCATTCTGAAAACATTTAACAAGATGCAATTTCATCCAGGTTTGAACAGTTCCACCACTCTTGTATGGGCATGCTAAAACAAAAAGTTTACTGCTCGATTAGACCAAGATCATAAAAGTATTTGTCATTTTTAGAAATGAAAACAAATGTATCTACCTTCAGACTTACCACAAAGCATTACTCACATAACTCTCTGGCAAGAACACCACCCCCTTGCCTTACTCCCAAACTTCATGTATTGACCACATTTAGAGGAAGTTCCTTCTTTTGGTAGCATTGCCTTAAAAATTTCTGTTCCATGGTCAGACCAAAACCATACCACATCTCCAGTTGATTATTCTGCAGAGACCATACACCCCTCCCCTTTATGGTCAATGAATGATTCCTTACTTTCCCTTGAACATATTGTAACAGACCTTTTATCAAGCCAATCTCCCTTCCTCTTTAGATACCTAAACTTATAGCAGCAATCCCTTATGGTAGAATACATTCTGTCAAAAAAGATGTATCTCTCAAAACTACTTTATGCTTTTTGAGTTTTTTACTATATCCACCCTTGCATAATCTTGAAGTAAAATGTAAACTTTTGCACTGAAACAACTTTGTTTGACCCAAAATGTTCTCAGGGCTTAGGTACACCCAATCGCTATCACTATAATCTAGCTGCTATTATTACCCCCCCCCCCCCACACACACACACACACACACACACACACAGCCTTGACCTACTCCTTCTTTGCTTCTGCCATCCCCCATGTTCTGTATCTTGGGATTTTGTAAATTTTTAGGAGGCTCATTATATCACTTCAATGTTTCTTTGCTGCCACTATTTCTTCTTGGTATGGAGCCTCCCACCCAGTTACAATAGGACAAGAGCAAGGCCTTCACAACGTTCATGGACATCAATATGATGGTTTAAAACCTTTCAACAGCTTACATTACATGCCTTTAAGAGATTGTAACCATTAAATTCTCACTCACCTTCACAAATGCTGACCTAACCCCCATGTCCCAGTCTTATGTTTTTAATCTGTGCCTCAATAGTGTTTTCTAAATGGGACATTTTAGACTCATTTGGAAACTCAACTCATATTTGGTGGACTTGCCAGAGAGTGAGTAGGCTTTGAATAGGGGTTTACAGTCTTGTTCAAACACTACTTCACACTAATCTTCATAAAATGTCTGTAAGTCATTGTTACTAAACCTATTTTCACTCTAATGTGCCCTGAAAATACTACATATTTTCATTGCCACCATATTAACTATTGTCAGAGAATCGAAAACACCTACCCTAAGATTCAAAGTCACTAAGCAGCATCCTGTTTAATGAAACACTGATAGCTATATTGGGGGATACCCAACCCCTATACTTTGATTACTCACTGCTTGCTGTCAGGGATCCGGGTATGACCAGAAATGTGTGGGAACATAGGCGTGGTCAGGGCTGGAGAAGTGGAATGGTCAGGCAGGCCGTATGGGTCTGTAATGCACCTCTAGCAACCCACGAAATAGGATTCCCCTGAGTGCGGAGTCTAAGTCCCAGTCTGCTTGTTCACCAGGGCCCCTGATGGTGGGGATGGACTTGGAGCAGACAGAGACCAGGTCGCGGCCCCTGAGTACACCCACCCGTGGTAGAGGGATCCGCCAGAAGTATATTCTGGAGGAGAGCCTGACGTGAAGAGGCGGATGGGTCCGTGCAGGACGGATGGATGGATGGATGGCTGAGCAGAAGCGTAGTCAGACAGGCAGGGTTA